GAAAGAGAGCCCAGGCAATGAAGCAGAATGAGGATGCTGGAAGGGGCAGATTTTTCAGCACCTTTGCTATGCTCAGTGTTGCTGCATTGATGTATCCAGGCAGACTCAGGTTCTTCCCTTGGAAATCCTTTGCTGGAGTAGGACTTACTGCAGGGGAGTAATGGACTTGGTAGTGATCAGTTGGTGTTAGTATCTGAGAACTAGCCTGATGCAAGTGCTTAAGGAAAACTCTGAGTCTAGGCCTGGCCCAGGTGCTGTTTTGCTTAAAAGTATTAAAAACGTGCTGTGGTTCTGAGGATGATGGAAGTGTTGTCCTTCTGGCTGTTGGCTGGGTTTCTGCAGTGCTCTCCCGTCTGGAAAGGAAGCTGTGGCAACACGTGCTTCGTTCTTGCATGGTTTGTGCAGCAGAGCATCCTTGTGAATGTTACTGTTGGTCTGTGTGAATTCTTGAGGAGTTTCCTGTGGGCTGGCTGGAGTAGCCGCCCAACTCTGTCCAAAGCACCTCTGTGCAGGGGCACCTGACTGCTAGGCTCTTGCTTGGACTTCTGAGAGAGCTGCCTCCTGGGTGGACCTCAGACTAGTCTGAGTGGACCAAGAGGCCCAGGGAGGGCATGGCACTGCATGGTGGGTGTGGGTCTCACTGGATTCCTGTTGCTTCCAGGTGGCAGATGCCATGAGACAGATGCAGGAGAAGAAGAATGTTGGAAAAGTCATCCTGGTTCCTGAAGCACCCAAGGAAGAATCCAAAAAAGAAGAGAACTAAGAAGAGATGTGTGCAGATCATGAATTCGTGGTTTAACTCCCTGATCAATTTGGAAATTGGAAATGGACAGATCAGTAGCTTCCATCTTCACCAATACAAAACCATCGTGATTAAAGTTCGGATGAGGTTTGCATGCTCTCGTTGTGACTGACCATTTGCCAGACATGCCTCCTGCCCTAGCTCTCTGTTTTGAAGAATCACTTGTTCCTCTACTGAATTTCCAAACTAACCCTTATTTTTCCTCTGGCAGTGCAGCTGAAGTTTCCGGGCAGTTGGTTATTAACAACTATATAGCCTGTCACTGTAAAGCAAAGATGTAACATCCTGTAGCAGCTGCCAAGTAGCTCCACAGGAACTGAGCCCTGCTGACAGCATTTGTGTTGTCGCCTTTGAGAAGCTCGTTCAGCAGAAGAAGGGATCAAACTTAGGCTGTTTCCTCAACAGCCAGAGGAAAAGCATGGCTGGCCTAGTTTGATTATAGCACGGACTGCTCTTCTGTTTCCACTAACCACGCTCTCTCCCCTCTGTTTTCGTAGGCCTCTAACACCAGGCAGATAGTCTTCACCTTGTAAATAATCATTCTGGCATTTTGGAGTTCCTGGCATTTTTGCACCTGATTTGTGGTCACTTCTCTGTGCAGTCAGCAAATAACCTGACAGGCTGGACTGGTCTGAGTCTGAATACAGAAGGAAAGTTTCACTTTGGTAACTTGATCTTGTCCATCTTCTGTTTCCAAACTGTATAGGGAGATCCTAAACTGTGTTTGATTTTTAGAGACCGTAAGGACTCAACTGTGTCTCAAATGACTGGAACAATTGGTGCTGGCTCTGCTTTATTATAGTTGGGCTCCAGCTTGGTGTTGTTACGACTAAACCTCACCCTCATATTTGTATTTCCAAGGGCTACAGTGTTGAATTGGAGTTCAGCAAGACAGGAACAAAATAAGCCCCTGTTAATTCTTGCTTTGTGCTGTGCCCTGTGTTCTGGGGAGGTGCTACAGTTTGGGAAGTAACTTGCAAGAACCAGTCCTGTAAGCCTGTTTCCCAGGAGCGGGGGCTGACTCCTTCTGTAGCACGCCACTCAGTAAAGCTGTCGCCAAATTACCTGTGTAATGTCAAGCCTCTTGGCCTGGGCATCTTCAGCAGTTTCAATTGTGCTTTCCATCTCTTCTAGCTATTAGTTAGACATCTACTCAGTCCAGCTCTCGCCTCGCGGTTTGGTGCTGCAGTGGGGCCTGGCTCCTCTTCCCCTGAAACTGCAGGTCTTGGGACCCCGGGCTCTCTTCCAGCACCAAGAGTTTAGGAGCTGCCTAGTATGCTCCTCACAGACCAGAACTCAGTTTCTCTTCCTTTTTTTTTTTTCCCCCCCCTTACGTGCATT